ACATGGGATCTCTCCAGATGTCCATGTCCAAGGCCCCTCATGTACATCTGTTGTCCTCTGAAGTTCTGCCAGATCTCTCCTGAACTGTGAATTTGGGGTGAAAAGAGATGCATTAAGATCATGTTGTGAGACAAAGTATGCCTGATCAATAAGAATTCCCCCCTGCAGATTCTCTGGCATTTGTTGTTCGCTTACTCTTGACTGCATCAGCTCAAGAGACTCTTCAAAGCTACAAATAGTATGATGTTCCTCCACACAATCTTCATAGTCAGATACTGAACTAGAAAACTCTGAAGAATCATCTGTTTTTAAAGCTTCATCGTTCTTATGCAAAAGCTTGTCCACACGTCTTATAATAGCCTTCATTAACTGTTTCCCTCCTGGTATCTTCACACATGGAGATTTGGAACCAAATACACCGTGGGATGACATAAATGGACTGTCCAACTCTTTAGTTTCCTCAATGCTTATATTTGGCTGCGCACGAAGGAGGTGATCATGGCCTTTTTCATGCAGAGAAAGAGTAAGAAGAATTTTCCCTGCATTTGTAGCACAAAAATTCTACACAATTAATATAGAGATCTCGGTTGATGCTAAAATGCTAATAGGACAATAATGCACCGCATCAATGGCCGAGTCAGCAACTTCGTTTGAGAAATTAAAGGTTAGGCCTAACAGGAAGACAATCTAGTCAATTTAGTAAACAAAGATTACTTCTTACCTGAATATTTCCCATTATCACATAACAAGGTGATAAACTGCAAATTGCTCCTAACATTTAAGAGGAAGAAAAATATACCTACTGCAGAACTACTGAATACTCAGGGCTACTGAGAAAACCACACCCTAACTTTTGTCTTTTAAATGGATAACTCGTACCTTGAACATTGCATATTTTTATTTCCTTAAGATGTGAGGCAAGAAATTCACGCGGAGAATGAACAATCATCATCACCCTTGACGAAACTAATATACATCAGGACATCAATAATCTTGTTTAAAAGCTATGACAAGACAACAACCCACTAAAAGGGTCAAACATGCTAGATTTTCATTCGATTTCGAATGCACCTGCACAAATGAATTCACCATAACTCATTGTGCTCAAATTTTCCGAATCCATTATCCACTACAACAATCAAAACAGTTATTGGCAAGCGAACCAGCATTTCTCATCATCTTCATAGCAACTCCTCCTCATTGGATATACAATATCTTTATCGTATAAGAAAGTAGATAGAATGCGGTAAGATCAATGTAAATCCAAGTTCTACTTAAAAGTCTGAACTTATTAAGAATCACCAACCATATGCAGTACTAATCTACAAAAACACAATCTTGAAAGCCACCATTGAAAGAAAACAAGGCAAACAGACATAGAAGTATACGAACCACAATCTTTATTGATAAATTTCCCAGTCTTGGGACTTTCAAGAGAATACCAAGCTGGCGGCAGGGTGCAATTAGTCTCAGCAGCAACAGAGCAGACCGTAATCCGAACCCGACCCACTAAGTCATCGCCATTGAACAAGCCAGACTCGTCGTCATGGTGAAACACAGACACAAGAAGCTCCTCCTCATTCATGTCATGAACCCTGAAAATAAACTCTTCATTCCAAACTGGGTTGGTGGTATTTCTCAAAATCCTGGTCTTGGACTTGTGCCTCCGAACCTGAAGCTTCACATAAGACTCCTTCACACGCAAGTCTTGCGCTTCCATTACGTACACGTAAAGCCTCATGGTGCAACAACAGCTTTAGAGAACTCTTGTAGAATTTGTGAGCAAAAAGACAGAGAAGGGGCCTAAGCAGAGGTGAGTTTGGGTGCGTTTGAAAGTTGGAGAAAAGGGTTGGTGTTGTTGATGTCTAACAAGAAGGAAGTGTGAGTAAGAGGCCATTAGAAAACGTGGAAGCAACAGAAAATGGACACGATGGATGTGAGAAGAAAATAGGAAATAGTGAGTTTGTTTTGGCTTGCGGTTGGAGGAAAGCAGGTCAATGACATGGAGGGAGCCTCATTAAATTATCTTTCTTCAAAACGGTTTGCCTTATCAGCTTTTGTGACTTTTGTGTTCAATGAGACTTTGCTTCCCCACAATACATTGATGCTGTTTTTGAGGCTTTTGAGATATTAGGATCACACTGAGAATTACCAAATAAAGGAAAGAGAGGCTTATAGCTCAAGTGATTAAAGTTATCTGTTCACGAGATCTTAAGTTCGATTCTCCTTCTTTCAATATCGATTGTATAAATAAATAGAAAAAGGACAGTGCAGGAGACCAATTTTCTTGAGGAATCAAATGCCTTTTATTATCATTAAGTTTGTGCTTGGTTATGGTCACTGTCAACATGTGCAGATTTTGGAATAAATTTAGGCTCGACATGCAAAAGCTCATGTAGTTTAATATCGAAGCTTCGGTTTTCTGCATCATGATCCTTCTAGTAATCCAATTTTAATCATACGTTTTTTTTTAACACAATATACCATGTATAATTAGCTATCCAACTCATTAAAAATATATAATTTAATTCTTAAATTTTTTACAATTGAATGAAGAAAAAAAAAACATGAAATATAATTTTGAGTCCACAAAAGCTAGGTGTGACGTGGATTCCACATAATAATTCTATTTTATTCTATTCATTTCCCTTGATTTTAACCGATGATTGGGACACAGTGACTCACTCTCACTCGGCAAACAGACCCAGTCGACCAGGTCTCGCCACGGTCCTTAGACCTTTGTACGGACTCTGTTCAGCGCGAGAGAGAGAGAGAGAGAGAGAGAGAGAGAGCAATGTTACAGTTCCCGGGGTTCATGAAACAGTACCCATGGTCAACAAGGACCATTCCGTCGTCGTTTTTGCTGCCAACCCAATGGCCCCAACCCCACAGCGAAGAGCTCCTCCTCGCCATGGAGGAGTCCGATTTCGAAGAGAAGGTACTTTTAGATATTTCACTTTGCCCCAATTTCTCATATACTCATCTACAAATTTACAGAAGAGCCCTGTTTTTTAGCTAATTGAGGTTTCAATCCAAAGAACGAAAGGGAAATGAGCCAATGGCTGAAAGTGTTGATGAAAAAAGGAACCTAATTTGAAGCCTAATTAGATCTAATTCTTGCATGTGGTTTGGTATCTGTAGCGTTGTTAATAAAGTAGTAATTTTTGTTCTCTGTAGGGTAAGAATATGCTTGTGAAACTTTTAAAGCTTTGTTCTCTGTAAGGCTGCACCTTGTTGGAGTTCCTTCTTCTTATTCTCCTTGATCCTATAAGCTTGAGAGCTCTTCTGATGCTCAAATTGGTGTCATGAAATACTTATTCAGCCATATTTGTTTCTATATGTTGGTTTAACACCAGTGTACTGGATTCAAATTTTGATTGCTATGTGAATCTCTTTGGGAGTGAATAGTTCTTCATTTTTATTCTGAAACCTCATATATTAATGGTAATTACATAACTCCTTTTGGAAAGAACAAAAAACGTCCATGATCTGTGCACTCACTCTGAAAGGGAGTCAAAGTTCTAGGTCATTCAAATTTAAATTCTTGGATATAGGGACCAATATCATAGATGGTAAGAAGAGGTCATGGTTTCAGGATTTCCAGTAATGGGAATTGGATTTTGTATAACGCATGCGCATATCATGAGTTACATGCATGTCTGACCTTAGGAGTTCACAGATAACTTAGGTTCATTCATATACGGGTGGTTTTTCGTCATGAGGTGCTGTTTCGGAATTCTTGTGAGTTAGAGCCTCAAAGATGGGGTTTGAAGAGTGTAACAAGCTAAAGGGCAGAAGGGCAGAGTGTAACAAGCTAAATGGCAGAGATATGCTATCGACATTTTTGAGTTCATCCAAGTTTAGCATTTGGTCTTATCGCGTATGTAGAGGCCTATGGGAGAACCAAAACCTCAAGGAGAAAGACACTATTAGTCAAATAGTTTGGAGTGTGTACCCTGTACGACAGGACACCTTGATGGCTTAGGCTATCAGTTCCACAAGGCCGGCTGGGGTATACTCACCCTGTTTGCCAATAGAAAAGTTACAAATATATATTAAACGGATAGCTTTGTTTCTTTTGGATAGAGGTGGTGCCTCAAAAGTCATATGAAAATATAATTGTAAATGACAAAAGCATTGCTCATTATCAAGATACATTTGAAGAAAATTTTTGCTTACATCTCAAGATAGCTAAATGAGTGAAAACACGTCTCACTAGGACAGCCTAGTTCTTCTTTTCAGAGCAGGATTAAGGCTGGGATGATGTCCCTTAAGGTGCTTCGAAAGGATTATATATTTAGGCACATTTTTGCAATATTGTTGGATCTGTGTGTGTCTGGTTTTAAGTGTCTTGAAATTTCAATTGTAGGGGATTATACCGTTGTGTTTTAGCATTTCAGTTTCCTTCTCCTATTTAAGTCGGCTTGTTGTTGTGACCATTTTTTTACAGTGTAATGAAATCAGAAAGAGCAGTAGCAGCCTGATTGTGATTGGGAAAACCACCGTCGACAATGATAAAGACGACTACGAGCATGATCCAGATGACGATGACATCGACAATGCAGAGGACTCAGAGGGTGAAGAGTTTGAGCAGGAAACTGGTTGAAATTGCTGACACCTCTGTTCTGTTTATGTTTGGACGGTCGTATAAACCTGCATTAAGTCTTGAACCTTGTATGCTTATCATATTATCCTAAACAGTTGTGTTGAATTGCCCCCACTTCATTGTGGATAGAGCTTGTGCCTTTTTGTTTCTATATATCCTTCTGTTGGAGATGTGTACAAAAGATGTTGGTTTTATATGTCTTCACGGACTTGCAATAGGTAGACTCGTCATGCCGGAAAATTCGATTTCGGTCATTCTTGTGGGGGAGGGGAGAAGGTTTTGTTTGATAGAGTTCGATATGTTGCATTCATATTCAATTTGCAATATAATAAGTTGAATTTTATTAGAAAATAACAAATTACTTCTTAAACGTTGTATCAAGTTAAAAAAGATCAACTTGTCTTAATTTAGTGATTACGAAGCTAAGTAAGCTTCGGCTCTAGAAGCCCCTCAAAGGTTGCTTCAATTCAACTAATAAATTTATTGGTTTAGATCGAGACTTGTCTAAGAAGCATTCAAAGTTTGCCCTTCATAAAAGTCATTCCTCCTTACTTCTTAGGATGATCCATCAGGCACCAACTGGCCCACCCTGAGGGCAAGGCAAGGGAGAAAATATTCGTCCTTCTTCTGGTCTATTCTTTGTTTTACTAGCAGGTAGCCACTGGGAAGGTACATCTCATAATTAATTATTAATTCTATTTTTAAGGCCATAATAATTCGTCTTCAATTTTTTTTTCCTTTATTTCAGACCAAGCTGGCGGCCTTTTAAGACTTTTTATAAGTCTAGTGGGAAGAGGTCCAAAAGTTCAACGCATAAGCGTTTTATCTTAAAATATTCCTCGCGGGCCCCATCCAAAACGGCATCTAATTCTGATGCCAAATGCAACCACCACCTGCCAACATAAGAAAATTAAAAAAATCATTAGCACAAAATTACTAATAACAATACGACCAACAAGAGTTAATGACACAGGTGTAACAGAAACGGTACGTGTCAACGACGAACCGAGTTTAGTTGGAATATTTTGTCCCATAGTGAGCAGTGACAGACCTATTTACGTTACGTGGCACGCATGCTGGACAGTGGACAGTGCTGGCTTAACGGCGACTAACGGAATCCCGAACGATAAAAGTTGCACCAGAATTCACGGCGACACAAATTCAAGCAATGAATTTTTGTCATTATACCACCTCGAAAAAAAATGAAAAAATAAAAGGAAAAAAGGAAAATCCTTCATTTCACACACCAATCACAAAATTTCACCCTTATATGTTTTCTATTTTGTTTTTTAAGTTTTTGATTAAATTTTTTCCGTCATCAGCGATATTCTTTGTGTGAAGCTCCTAGAAGTTAGGGCTTCGAATCTCAACGCCAGTCATTGCAGTGAGGAACGTGTTGATGACGATGTTGATGGTGATGATGATGATGAGGAATATCCGACATGTCGCTGGGGTTGCTCTGGACATGGCAAGGATAGTAGCAAGCACGTCCGGACCCTTTCTGAAACCTGACTGGCCCGGGATGTACAATCGGCGGCGAAGCGTACCGTTTCGGAGGCGAAACATACCCTTTCAGAGGCGAAACATACCGTTTCGGAGGCGAATCGGTGAACGATAAGAGCGATTTCGAAGGGGACAAATCGCCGCCGCTCGTAGCCATAGACATAGGAGGCGAGATTTGCTTCAGCGATTTCGGCGGCGAGAGAATGGCTCTGATCTTTAGAGGACGAGACGAAGAAGAAGCTCGATCGTACTCTTCGATGATATTAGCTAACTCCTCGTCGGACTTGACCGAAATCAAGGTCTCCAAATCTCCATCCGGCAATTGACACCTCAAATCCACAGAGTAGCCACAGAACTCCGCGAGTTTCACCATTAGCTCTGTACATGTCGAAAAAATGGAAATTAGCACTAAATTCAACGAAGAAAATGAAATCGAGTTGAAATTCAAGTAAATTAAGCCAAAATCAAAAGGAAAATAACGAATTGAAGCAGATTGAACAAACCTGCAAAGGAAATGGAGGCATCGACGGCAAGAACACGAGTAAGGCCACCGACGTAACGGAGATTACCGTCGGTGTGACGAGGGAGGATTTTCCCGCCATAGCTACAGAGGAGTTTTAAAGGTTTTTTGGTCTTGTGTTGGTCCATGGCTCTGAGACTTTTTTTACTTTCAAGGCAAAGAGAGGGAAGAAGAGAGAGTAGAAAGGAGAGAAGAGGGTTTGAAGGAGGAGAGGGGCTTGAGGCTTCAAACCTCAGGGAGTGGTTTTGTAGAATATTTATAGGAGGGGGAGGAGGAGAGGGAGGAGTGGGGGTGACGTCAGCGGCAGACCCACACGCAAAGGAAAGAATGACTAATGAAGTGGTTGCTTCCTCTAATTACTATTCCTAATAGGAATTAGTATTATTGTTGAATAATAATTTGAAAACCTTTCGTTAATTTTATTCGGATATTCCTTTTTATTTTCTCGTTGTAAACAAAAGCGTGCCTGAAAATACTCAACGCAACGATGTGGGCCCCATTAGGCCCATTTAGGTGGCGAGTCATCATTTTTATAAAAACATAATAATAATAATAATTTACTTTTTTTAATTTTTCCTTTTCTTTTTCATTCACGAGGTCACTCCAATCCAAAGTCCAAACGGAATCATAATCAATTGGGTAACTTTGGTTCACCTTTTCTTTTTTATTTATAGTGGGCTATGTCTGTATGCATTGCATTTTGTGTGAACTCAATTATTTGAGTTCATTTTGATGTAATATGGCGTTTGACCTTCTATTAAATGAAACAAGATTTCGTCCAAAAAAAAAAAACTTTGGTTCACCTGCTTACAGCTGGTGTGTTTTGGCGGGTTGGGTTTCAGTCTTTTCTAGTCAAAGACTTCCACTAAGACGATTATAATTTAGAGAATTATGGACTTTGTGTCTAAATTCCAGGGATTAGGAGTATAATTCTTGCTTCCTAGACTTCTTTATGATGGGAATTTGTGTTTATAACTGTTAAATCGTCTGATTTATTTATTTATTATAATTAGAGCGTAGGTTAATCACAATACATTGAATTATATTATGATCAAATAAGAATTTACACTAAAAATGCATCTCATAAATCCCATCTTTGTAACCCGAAAAAGTTATTATGAATCGAATCATAATGGGATTAAAAACATCTTAATTGTAATTTTGTGGGTTGGTATTAAATTAAATACAAATTTATAAATAAACCCAATTCTAGACATGTATTTATAAAAAAATCCAAACACTATTTAAACATAGAAACACACCCAAAATCAACAATTGATTATAAATGAGTTTTGAGTGTGTGTAATTAGGGGTGAGCATCTTAAACCGAAATACTGAAATCGTACCCTAACCGCACCGTACCATACCGATTTCATACCGTTTCATTTGGTATGTGGAGATATTCGGTACCGTACTGTACCGTACGAATAGAGTATGGTATGGTAGCGGTATCAAGATTTTGGTACCGGTCAATACCGTACCGTACCGAATAGTATAACTTTATGTTTTTGTCATTTATGTTTGGATTGTTTGTATTTTTGTAAATCATAAGGCATAATTTTAACTACTTTGGTTTGTAAGCCATAAGGCATGAGTTTTAACCATTTGGGTTTGATGAATTTGTTGATGGATAAATATTGATTTGGTTGATTTGGTATTGAATATGTTGATTATGATTTGGATATTGAACATATTGATGGATATTGAATATGTTGATTAGGATTTGGATATTGAATATGCTGAATCTTTGAATTTGTAACTTAGGCATCACTTATTTTGGTGTTGAATATTGAATTGGTTCATTTTTTAGTTGTATCATTTTAGTACCGAAATGGTACCGATACCGATTTGACACGGTACAATACGATACCAATTTTGGCAAACCATAATCCCATATCGTACCATACCGATTTAAATTTTCGGTATCGGTAGAAGTACGGACTCAATACCGTACCATACCGTACCATGCCCACCCCTATGTGTAATGATGAGTTTTGGGTGTGTTTATAAAGTGTTTTGGGTGTTGGGTTTTTTTATAATTTCAGCCCCCATTTTTGGTGTTTTAGTAAAACTCCCTAAATTAAATAGTTATATGATGTTTCAACAAATGATCCATTAGTGTGGTTTGAAGTAATTGCTTCTCTGTGAAAGGTCATAGGTTCAAGTTCTAACATTCGTGTAGTGTATGTGAGTTTAGTATGCTATCGTCCCTCTCAATAAAAAAAAGGTTCTAAATATATATATATATATATATATCATTATCATTACAGCTCATATCCAACTTAATTTTGCTAAATTATAAAGTTTCAACGTATTTTAAGAAAATTTGAGAATATCTTCACGTATGACAATAATGATTCTTAATGAATAATTTTATTGATCCACATGAAAATTATCATACTTAACATGCCATCTATGATCTACCCCTGTTTTTATGCTGTCTTAAGGGAACAAATGTCAATAACAAAATATATTTAAAACTTTTTTAGGGAATCCTCATCTAGTTGGGAAACCAAACTGCCAAGCTAGGGTTCTAGACCTCAATTTCACGGCTCAACCTCACAAGAATTCCAACGACTCCTGTAAATTGATTATGTTCCATGCATACAAACTTTAAGATTCCATTAGTTTTCCTTCCAAATATCCATACAAAAATTGTCATACCATATGTAATAAATAAATAAATAATTAATTATAAACGTAAAGAATTTGTTCCAATATTTGCAAAATGCCGCTGGTGATCTGTGAATACTCCACGAAAGGTCCCATTTATGGACACAGATGGTTTTGTTTTGGATTGGCTTTCCATACATGCATAGAAATTCAGGTGAAATGTCCAACTAACTTTTCTTTTGACTGTACAATTATTTGGAGTTGCGATTATAACATCTGCAAACTAAAAGAGATCATTGCAGTTCAAAATATCAAACGTCTTACCAACCATCGTGTATTTATGTTGGAAATTTATGGTGATGGTTGTGTATCTTTTTTGTCACATGATATGTCGGTTAGTACACTAAAAGAGTTTGTTTTGTTTGTGAATTAAACTTATCGAGAATGAACTTCCCATGTTTAATTCTACGAAATGGGAATGGAGGATGTTCATTCCCATATTTCGAAAATGAGGACTAAGAAAAATGTCATTTTATCTCATTGCCATATTTGGTCTATACAGTATAAGGACTGAAAAATTGTTTAATTTTCCAACCATATCCTTGATTTTATTATTATTATTTTTTTAAGTTTTTAACACGAATAGGTTTGAAAAGTCAAAAGTGGGAAGTTTCCCAAGGAGTGCAAGAGAAATGAATTTCCTCTTACATGGGAAGTTCTTTCCCATGAGTATTGCATTCCTAAGGATGGATTTACCGAACAGAGGAATGAAATTTCATACTGATTCCAAGCTCCAAAATCTTGAACCAAACATCCCCCAATTTTTTTTATATATTTATTTTGTTGCCAATGAGGTCTAACTTAGTGGAAAATGACCTTGACTTGTAGGCTAATAGTTTCATATTCAAATCTCCATAACACTTTAGCAATGTGTGCGAAAAAACCTACTCTCTCAATATCGCTTGTATAGAAAAAAAAGAAGAAGAAAAAAGGGACTTTTTCTTGCTATTCAAACTACGATATAAGAGTGTATAAGACGATTGGAGAAGTCCGAATGAAACCAAAAGAAATAAGTTAATGAGAGTTGGGTTAATTTGGAAAAATTAGGAAAAATGACAAAGATGGGAGCTGAGAGTGGAGTTTTCTCAAATACACTATCAAAGTGTCATCGAGGTTTAAAAAAACACATTAATTCACAAATCGAGGTCCTTATCTAATCCAGAAAGAAAATAAAGCAAGGACCATTTCCCGACAAGAACGTATACAGGGGCGGTCGTTAACTCGTTAAGTTATGTTTATAGAGATGTAGACACGCGGAAGGAAGTACCTAATAGGAGGGCACGTGGATGGACGCGTGGCATGCATTATAGCTGGCGTTTGAGGAGAGGAGCTAGCGAGCATCATCCACTTGATTATTGTGGTGGCCAAATACAAAGGCCACAGGGTAGGCAAGATTCGTTGTGTATGGCCAATAAGGTGAAGGTCATGGCCCACATAAATGGTTCATGAATCATACAAGGGACAATGCCATCTAAAACCCCATATAATGATTTATTTACTTCATTATTTGAAGAGAATAAGTTTCAAATTTGAAATATATTTCAATAAAATAGAGAGAAATATTCCTAAATGAATAATCAGATGGTACTTTTAAAAAAATTTAATAAGGAACTAATCATGACTGATTAAACTCTAATTAGCGTCGAGACCATGAAAGCCTTGTCTAGAACCCTACAATGAGTGGGTTTTCTATAATATTTTAAAGTTTTTCTCTTGTGAATTGGTTTTGGAATGTATTTGGGTACCAGGTGCGCTGATCAAATGCTTGGGTGCATTTAGAAGGCCCAAATCCGAGTCCAAACTTAAGGATCAAAATTGGGGAAGGGCCTTCTGGAATTTAATTTAGGCCTTATTTTTGGCATTGGACCTGAGCAGGACTAATTGCTGCTGTTTTGTGTGTGTGTGGATAATTTGTTGCTTGGTGTTCTTTGTGAGAAACATTTACATGAAATAGGAATAACGCTATTTTGCTATCCTGATCAATCACAGGATGTCCCGCGTGATAATTTTTCTAGGTCTTTGGATGTAATCTAGAAGCTTGTGGAAATATGCCAAACAACCCATTTACCTGTTAACATTCACAACCTTGAATTGACTAATATATTGGTACCAAAAGTCGGCTGTGGGAATGCCTTATCTTCAACCTTGTGCTTGGAAATTGAATTATGTGAATGCAACTAGGACGAAATTCTTTCCTCTTTCATTCTCCCCACACTTGATAGAAAGTTCTAAAATACACTCACCCATCACCAACTTGTACATGTATTTTCTCCTTCAATATTTACATATAATATAACTTCAATAAATTGATAATATTACGTGACAGTGAACCGACGAAAAAATAATAGAATGCTTCCCCTATTCAATATATATAATAAAAGCAACAACTAGATTTGTAATAATAGTATTTCATTTCTTGCATGAGGTCCTTCTTCAATATGAAATAATGAATGACTAGGGTTTAGGACTGACTGAGCTGTCCACACGTACAATACGGAGTAATCTTCACTAAAGAAAGTAACATAACCACCTATTTTAATCCCA